AAAAAAAAAAAAAAAAAAAAAAAAAAAAGGCAGTTGGGAATGGAGTTCAGTGGCAGAGTGCTTGCCCAGCATGCATGAGGAAAATGCCTCCCCCCACACACACCCTGTGTGACCTTTAGTTAGGCAATTTTTTAAAAAATTTTATTTTATAAATTTTTAGATGGATCCAATACCTTTATTTTATTTATTTATTTTTATGTGCTGCTGAGGATTGAACTCAGGGCCCCACACATACTAGGCAAGTGCTCTGCCACTGAGCTACAGCCCCAGCAAGCAATGGTTTTTAGATATGAAACCAAAGGTACAAGTGACTAAGAAAAATAGATAAATTGTACTTCATCAAAAATTAAATACTTTCTTCCAGGTGTGGTGGGCACATGCCTGTAATCCCAATAGCTTGGGAAGCTGTAGCAGGAGAATCTTTCCAGCCCAGGAATTCAAGGCTAGCATGGGCAACCTAATGAAGCCCCATTTTAAATATAAATAAATCAGGTCTGGTGGTACCCACCTGTAATCCTGTAATCACAGTGGCTCGGGAGGCTGAGGCAGGAGGATTGTGAGTTCAAAGATAGCCTCAGCAATTTAGCAAGACCCTATCCTTAAGTAAAAATACAAAAAAGGGTGGGGGTGCACTCAGTGTTTCAGAGACCCTGGGTTCATTCCTTGGTACCAAAAAGAAATAAAAAGGACAGAGAATGTAGTTCAGTGATACAGCACCCATGGGATCAATCCCCCCAGTACCACAAAAATAAATTGGTAAAAAATTAAATTAAAAAAACAACTAGGGGGGCTGGGGTTGTGGCTCAGCAGTAGAGCATTTGCCTGGTATGTGCGAGGCCCTGGGTTCGATCCTCAACACCACATAAAAATAAATAAACAAAATAAAGGTATTGTGTATAACTAAAAAGTAAATTAAAAAAAAAAAAGAAAACTAGAGATTGAACCCAGAGACACTTTACCATTGAGCTACATACCTAGCCCTTTTTTATTTTTTATGTTGAGACAGTCTTACTAAGTTGCCCAGACAGGCCTCAGATTTACCCAGTTTCCTGCCTTAGGCTTCTGAGTTGCTGGAATTACAGGTGTGTATCACCATGCTTGGCTGAAAACAACTGACTTTAAAAAGGGGCATGGCCTGGGGCTGGGGGTGTGGCTTAGTGGTAGAGTGCTTGCCTTGCATGCGTGGGGCACTGGATTCCATCCTCAGCACCACATAAAGATAAATAAAATAAAAGGTATTGTGTCCATCTACAACTAAAAATATATATTTTTTTAAAAAGGGGGGGGCATGGCCTGTGGGTGGAGCTTAGTGATAAAATGTGTGCTTAGTATGAGACCCTGAATTCAATCCTCAGCACCACAGAAATAAAGGGTGAATTTGTATAGTATGTGTACTATATCTCAATAAAGCTGTTTTTAAAAATAGGAAAGGGGGGCTGGGTTTGTGGCTCAGTGATACAGCACTTGCCTGGCATGTGTGAGGCACTGGGTTTGATACTCAGCACCATATAAAAATAAAGATATTGTGTCCATCTACAACTTAATTTTTTAAAACTGTTACATTAAACAAAAAAAAGAAAAAGAAATAGGAATGAGGGCCTGGAGACATAGCTTGTTAGTGGGGCACTTTCCTAGCATGCATGAGCTCCTGGGTTTAATTCCTAGCACTTCCCTGTGCTCCATCCTCAGTAACTCACTCTCTCTCTCTCTCTCTCTCTCTCTCTCTATCACACACACACACACACACACACACACACACTCTACTGTGTGCCACTGGCCAGAATGATAAAACATCTCAGGCTCCCACCATCTGATTGAGAAAGACACCACAAATCTGACCTCCTGTGATTGAGATAAATGCTTAGATGGAGGAGCATAGCTTTCTGAGAAGGAGAGGAAGGAGTGTCATGCTTTGAAATCCACACCTTCACTTTTACTTGGTATTGAAAACATGCCCATTGGGCTCCATCTTAATT